GCTAGAAGCGGCCGAAGCATATCTCATCAACCATTTCGAGAGAACAAACATCATTGCTATCCACTGCAAGAGGGTGACGATCCTGCTGAAGGACCTGAGGCTGGTTGATAACTTGGCCAAGGCTCGCTGGGAATACAAATATGAAGGCATTATCGACGAGCAGAAGAGAGCGGAAAAGCTACGGCAGATGAATGCTGCAAGGCAGGTCACGAGGGAAACGCAGGCGGAGAGGGGGGTGTCTGAGAAGACAGCAGCAGCATGCAAAGGCAGCGAAAGGAGCTTCGCGCAAAGGCAATCCATCAAAGAAAAGCATGGCATGCAAATAAGAACACAGTGAAGACTGCGCTGAGACCGGTTCGCACACACACAAATATGATGTGTATGAGTGTGTAGGTGCGGTTTTGACTCAATACTCAGCGACGCTGTGTGCTCACTGCTGTGCGTTGTGTTGTGTAGTGTAGTGTGTTGTGTAGTGTAGTGTGTTGTGTGTTGTGTAGTGTGTTGTGTGATGTGTAGTGTGCTGTGTGCTGTGTGCTGTGTAGTGTGTTGTGTTGTTGTGTAGTGTGTTGTGTAGTGTGTGTGTGTGTACTGTGTAGTGTGTGTGTGCTGTGTGTGTGCTGTGAGCTGTGTGTGTGAGCGACTGTCAAACTGTGTGCTGTGTAGTGTGTGTGTGCTGTGTGTGCTGTGTGCTGAGTGTAGTGTGTGAGTGTTGTGTGTGTGTTGTGTGCTGTGTGTTGTGTGCTGTGTTGTAGTGCTGTGTAGTGTGTTGTGTGTTGTGTTGTAGTGTGCTGTGTGCTGTAGTGCTGTGTAGTGTGCTGTCTGCTGTTGTGCTGTGTAGTGTGCTGTGTAGTGTGCTGTGTAGTGTGCTGTGTAGTGTGTTGTAGTGTGTTGTGTTGTGTGTTGTGTGTTGTGTAGTGTGCTGTAGTGCTGTGTAGTGTGTTGTGTAGTGTGTGTGTGTGTGTGCTGTATAGCGTGCTGTATAGTGTGTGTGTGCGGTGTGTGTGTGCTGTGAGATGTGTGTGTGAGTGTGTGTGTTGTGTGCTGTGTGCTGTGTGGTGTGTGTGTGTTGTGTGTGCTGTGTGCTGAGTATAGTGTGCGTGTGCTGTGTGTGTGTTGTGTGTTGTGTGTGTGTGCTGTGTGCTGTACAGTAACCCGTAGGGTTAGATTCGTAACTTTATTTGGCTGAGGGCTAACCGCCAACCTGCCTCTGAGGAAATTCGTGAGGCACAAATCTGTATATCCGGGAAAATACGGGCCGGGTACTAACCGAATTCGTACAGCTACCCTAAGTGCCTATAGCAGGCCCGAGCTACCCCTATGACAGACAGGCCCTACATGGCCTATGCTGCTAGACGGTCCTATAGCCTATAGCCGGGTCCGGTAGAGGCCGAGAGGCCGAAGCAGCAACGGTACCGGTCGGTCAGTCAGTCCGGTCTAGGTCTAGAGAGTAGATAGATAGGATAGGCCCACTGGGTGAGCACTTTTGGCCGGGCTGGACCGAGGCTCTACAGTGGTGGTTCGTTGGGTGGTGGCAGCCATAGCTGCCTGTTCCTTCGTCAGAGTTGTCCATCGGCA